CTCCCTCCTCCCTCCTCCCTCCTCCGAGTCACGTGAGCCCCGAGCCCACCACGGCCCCCTGCGCCCAGGCGGGGCACTCACAGGCGGCGGCCGCGGCGGCCGGCCTTCTTGCGGGTGCAGTCGGTGGGGATGGGCGTCACGTCCTCGATGCGGCCGATCTTCATGCCCGAGCGCGCCAGCGCCCGGAGGGCGCTCTGGGCCCCTGGCGGGGAGCAGAGACTGGCGGCGAGCGATGGGAGGGGGAGGAGGAGAGGGAGAAGGCCTTCCCAGAAGGCTCAGGAGTCCCCCGGCCTCCCGAGAAGTGTTCTGAGCCTTCCCGGGAGACACGAACAGCCTCCCAGAAGGCGTGGGGGCTGCTGAGAAGCCCCGCCGCCTTCTGAGAAGGCCTTCTCCTTCTCGCTTCCCCTCCCTCGCTCGCCGCCGAGGGAAAGGCCACCCTCACAAGCAGCAGCCCGACAAGCGAAGCCGCTGAGAGTAGACGCGCCCAGCGAAAGAATCGAGCGTGACGGGGCTGTATCGCAAACGGCCCAAGGCCGTTTCGGGAACGCCACTCAATCATGGGGGTCGGGATGGTTCTTCTCCCCATGACCCGGCCCGGGCGTGCGCGTCCTGGTCCCGCCCGTCGCGCGCAGCTTGATGTGGAGCGCCGTGATGCCCAGCTCCTTGCAGCGGGCGGCCACGTCCTGCGCGGCGAGCATGGCAGCGTACGGGGAGGACTCGTCGCGGTCCGCCTTCACCTTCATGCCCCCGGTGACGCGAATGATCGTCTCGCGGCCCGACAGGTCCGTCACGTGGACGAAGGTATCGTTGAAGGACGCGTAGATGTGCGCAACGCCGAAGACCTGCTCGCCCTCGCGGACAGTGGGGCCCAGGGTTACCGCCTCCACCTCGGCTCTCTCCTTCTTCGGCCCCATTCGTGCTGCACGCCGATGCTTCGGGGAGCTCCTGGTGCCAAAGCAGCGGGGTCTGTCCGAGCCAACGCAGCTTGAGCAACAACGGCGGAGGGTCGCTGCGTTTTGGGATGTGGCATCTTCTTCGGCGTTGGCTCTCGTGTTGGCTCTCGCTTGGCTTTGGCTTAAGCAGTAGCGTGAACTTTTGCGTTGGTCATGGCTTCGGTGTTACCAAAATGTTCAACTCTGCTCCGATATGACATGCACCAGTATTTCCGAACCCACAGTGTACGATCGCTTGAGTGGTCGCTTGAAGTGTCGCTCTGGAACGAGCTTTGATGTTGACCTCGGCGCGCGCATCCGCAATGGCTCTGGAAATAGCTTGAGCTTCGGCACTGCTGTTGGGCTTGCTAGCCTTTGCTTCCGCATTCGCATGAGCATTGCATCCGACTTCATCTTTCTCCTAAGATCAGTTTGGATCTGGCTGCTGTCCCAGCTGAACTTTTACAGTTGGCTCCAGATACTACACTCGAATCGGCTTTGGCGGTAGCTTTGACTCTGCCAATTGCTTTAACACTTCGGCGATGGCTTTAGCTGCGACGTGCACTGGTCTTCTTTTACTTTGCGTTCAGATGACTGAAACCCAATTCAGCTTCATCTCAGTGGGCAGCTTTTGCGTCAAGTTCAATGCCAGCGTAAAATATTTGATGGGAGGCCACTGGAGCTTGAACTTTGCTCTCGGTTCTGATTTGCCATGTGCTAACTGACGGCGCCACGACACTGCAAGACGACGACACCAAGCCACCGCGACATCGTCACACCACGATGCCGAGAAACCCCGACACAACGACACAACGCTACCACGACACCCACGATACCGCGACACCGTCCCACCGCCAGTCAGGAGGATCAGATCGGTAGCAGCAGGAAGAGGAGAACGACTATGTCCACAAAGCGAGTTGGAAACCACGAGCACTCGCGCATAACATCGCACGCATGTCACTCAAGATATGCGGCATGAGATCGCGACTGCTCTGGTGGGAGGGTGCTCAGCAGAAGGCTTCCTGAATGGGGATGGAGACAATGTGGATCCAAGATCACACCACATTGCCGACACATCCGCGATGCATTAGCGAACTCGTGCAGAAGCAGAGCAACTGGCATAAACATAAATGCTCGACGGTCCGCGCAGATTTCTTGGATCTGCTCTGGGCCCCCCGCCCTGGCACGTGGAGCGCGCCAGAGGCGGCGCCGCGGCGCCGCCAGGGGAGCCCAGCGCCGATCCGACAAATCCGCGCGGAGCTCCGAAAATGCATGTTTTTGCAAGTGCTTCTTCGAACCACACTGCATTGCTGACACATCCGCGATGCATTAGGACCACCAAGACAGGGACGTCACGGTGGTCAAACGCCTCGCGGGTGAAGCCGGCGAAGATGTGCACAGTCCACCCATTCGCGTATGCCCAAAGTTTCGGCTTGAAGCTAGGTGTGGTGCATCAATTCCAGCGTGACCGAACAGGTTGCTTGCGCCCCTTGACGTCCGTTTGGGGTGCTTTGCAGACCTGACCCCCCAGCCATGCTCAAGCCCTCCCAGCCGCCGCTCCCTCCTCCCCATCGCTCTGGCTCCCGGTTCCCTATCGGCGCAAAGCCACCCCCTTGCCCCGCCACCTCCCCTCACCCGGCCACGTCTGGAGGCGACCTCACGGCCCACGGAGTCCCCACCCCCCAAGCAGCGCGCGAAGACCAGGCAGACCTCCATGGGGCAGCCCCAGCCAGTGCCATGGGTGCGCTTGACCACTCCCTTGTCTCCCAGGTCGCAGCCATGCTGGACGAAGGCGTCAAGCACCACGATGACGTCAGCGCGCAGCAGTACATGTGGGCTGCCAAGCACGCTTCGACCGCGGCCCCTCCCGCCGCGGGGCGGGGCCCACATGACCCTAATTATAGTATATCGTATTCCCGCCCAGCCAGCTCAGCGTGTTCATCCGCTTCCTGCTTCCAGAACTTGTCCAGGCTGTCCCCCCCTGGCCCTGGCACCTTTGCGCCGCACCCAGGGGGAAGCGGCGCTGCTCCGCGCAAGCGTCCTGCCTCCCGCGCCCACCCCGGGCCCAGAGGGCGGCCCCGCCATTCATCTCGGGCCGGGCGAAAGGGGGGGATAGCAAAGCGGGGGATTGAGAATCAGCTCACGTAGCTGATTTTCCCGGCGCCGGGAGGCGGCCATGTATCGAGCAGAGGGCCCCTCGGTTGGGCCGAAACCAGCTGCATGCAGCAGATTTCGTAACCTCCCCTTTCCCAATCCCCACCTTTCGTGCGGCCCCATCATCGGCCTGGCCTCCAGTCCATCCCCTCGCTTCCGTCGTCTCGCTTCTCTCCCGCCTCTCACACTGCCACCAGGCGGGCAGTAGTCGGTGCGTCCGTCACCTCCACGCCATCCACGCCCAGATGGCCTCTTGGCTGTGTGAGCACGCGCGGGATCCAGAGTGATCTCGCCTGAGGGCCCAGCCGCGCGAGCACCGACGCTCAACCTTACTCCGCCTCGTCGCTGCGCGCGAGGCCGCGATCGCCAAAAAAGTGTTTGTGTGTGTGTGTTTGTTTGTGTGTGTCTGTGTCAGTTTCTGCGGTTTCTTCGTCCGGCAGCGCCCCCTCTTGAGCTGCGCACGCGGTGCGCGTGGACCACCGCCACGACGACGAGGAGTGCCTCTCCCCGCGGCGGCGGATGTCGGGGAAGGGGGCTCCCATGTCGTACCTTTACGCCATGGCCAGTGTATCCTGAAGCAGGCGGATGGCACTCCGCGGGCGGCCTCACGTTGCCCGTGGCCGCCCGGCTTCGCAGGGCGCCCGCGGACAGCGCCCACGGAGCCGCGCACGCCGCCCACCCCGGGGAGCGAGGGGAGCCACCCGGAGGAGGGCGTGCGGGCGCGGGCCCCGTCGCGACGGTGCTGGCGGTTGGCTGGGTGACGTGGGCTTGGGCTTGTGGTGGAGGCCGCCGGCACTTGCGCTCGCCGCCGTGGGCGCCCGGGATCCCTGAGGCCCTGGCGACTCCATTTTTGTGGAGCCCAGCGTTCTCGCTCAACGCCGCGCCCTGCGGGGCCCTCACAGATCGATCCGCCTCTAGAAGTGACGCAGCCGGACCAGCCTACAAGGTCGCGCATAGGCGATCTTCTGATGTCGGGCGGTTGTAGCCACGCGACATCAGACTCTACGCAACTGCTCGGGGCGCCCCCCCCCTCCCAGATCATGCGCGACCCAAAAATTTGGGTAGCGAAACGCAATCTCGGTCGTTCCGCGACCGACCAGATTTTTCGGTCGCGAGTACCGGTCGCGACCGGTCGCGACCGTCGGTCGCTACCGGTCGCGACCGGTAGCGACCGGTAGCGACCGATCAAGACCACAGCGGAGATCAAGCCCACAGTGGATAGTGGATCGACTGTGATATCGATACTTCAGCCGAGTCGTTCAGATCGATAGTGCGTTCGATGAGGCCACTCAGTATTCAGTGAGATTGTTGCTATAGTTATTCAATGCAGATAGATAGTGATACTGATAGGTACGTAGGTAGGTAGTGAGATCTATAGGTCGATATGCGATAGGTGGATAGTGATATCGATAGGTAGGTCGTGAGATGGATAGTGATATCGACAGTGAGATAGTCCATAGGCGAAGCCAATAGTGAGATATGAGATCGGTAGGTTAGTAGATTCGGTGAGATCGGTCAGAGGAGGAAGGGCGAGGAGCAGGAGGGGGAGGGAGGGAGGCAGAGGGGGAGGGAGCAGAAGCAGGATAAGTAGGAAGGAGGAGGACACCAGTTGTCCCCTCTCCCTCGCTCGCTCGCTCGCTCGCTCGCTCACTCCTCCTCCTCCTCCTCCTCCTCCTCCTCCTCCTCCTCCTCCTCCTCCTCCTCCTCCTCCTCCCTCTCCTGATCTGCCCTTCTCCTCCTCCCCCTTCTCCTCCTTCTCCTCCTCCTCCTCCTCTCCCTCCCCTCCCCCCCTCTCCTCATCCTAATCATCATCCTTATTCCTTCCTCCTTCCTCCTCCTTCCCTCCTCCTCCTCCTCCTCCTCCTCCTCTCCTCCTCCTCCTTCTCCTCCTCCTCCCCCCCTCTGCCTCCTCCCCCGCCTCAGTGGTGAGCAAGCTGGAGCCTCGCCGCCTAATTATCACCACCATCCTCCGCCTCCTCTTCATCAACCTCCGTATCCACCTCCTTCTCCTCTTTCCCTCCTCCTTCTCCTCCTTGTCCTCCTCCTCCTCCCTCTCTTCCTCCTCCTCCTCATCGTCATCCTCCTCATCCTCCTTCTTCCCCTATCCTCCTTCTTCATATCCTCCTCCTTTTCCTCCTCTTCCTTCTCCTCCTCCTCCTTCTCCTCCCCCCACTCCTCCCCCTACTTCCTATCCTCATCCTTCTCGTCCTCCTCCTTGGGCCAAGGGGCCGTTAGCCGTGGGCCCTTGGGTTGTCGCTTCCCTGGGCCCGTGAGCCATTTTGGCACGTCCTCGGCCCAGAGGACGCCCGACAGGCTCCGCGCGGGAGCCATGGCCTCCCGCGGCCCATCCCCTTCGCGGGCCCTGTGGGCTCAACCGCCGCTGCGCCGCCCAGCGGCGCCGCTCGGCGGCGGCCTCCAGAAGGCCTTGCTGAAGTTGGTCGTGGAGCGCGGCTCCACGAACACCTTCGACCTGGGCCACTATGACTGGCTCACGAAGGACAAGGCCGTCCACGCGCCGTCGCTCGCGGCCAACCCCGAGTTGGTTGGCGGGCGTTGATGAAAGGAAACAAGGGGGCAAGAGAGGGTGAGAAGAATTCCTCCCAACCTCCTCTTCTGTTCCGCTCCTTCCCCCTGCTCCTCTCCCTCGATCCTCCGTGTTCCGTGGCCATGTTTTAGGCTGTAGCGCCATGGCGCAGGCGTCGTGCCTGGTCATTCAGCTCGGCGGGGGCGACGCGCCCCCTGGCCTCGGGGAGCCATGGCGCGTCATGGAGGTCGGGGACGTCCCCCCTGGCCTCCCCCAG